TGTCTTTGTCTTTGTCTTTGTCTTTGTCTTTGTCTTTGTCTTTGTCTTTTTCTTTGTCTTTGTCTTTGTCTTTGTCTTTGTCTTTTTCTTTTTCTTTTTCTTTTTCTTTGTCTTTGTCTTTGTCTTTGTCTTTGTCTTTGTCTTTGTCTTTGTCTTTGTCTTTTGTCTTTGTCTTTGTCTTTGTCTTTGTCTTTGTCTTTGTCTTTGTCTTTGTCTTTGTCTTTGCTTTGTCTTTGTCTTTGTCTTTGTCTTTGTCTTTGTCTTTGTCTTTGTCTCTCTCTCTCTCTGTCTCTCTCTGTCTCTCTCTCTCTCTCTCTCTCTCTCTCTCTCTCTCTCTCTCTCTCTCTCTCTCTCTCTCTCTCTCTCTCTCTCTCTCTCTCTCTCTCTCTCTCTCTCTCTCTCTCTCTCTCTCTCTCTCTCTCTCTCTCCTTCTCCCTTTCCCCCCCTCTCTCTCCCTCCCTCCCTCTCACTCTATCTCCTTATTCATCTCTACATCTCTGTTTGTTTGTCTGTATATCTTTTCTCTTCTTATTTCTTTTATTTACATCAAATGTATGTATTTTTACTTGTGCTAATAATTCCCTTGTAAGTATACTTCCACATGAGAAAGGAAAGGGAAATAGGAAGAACAAGGTGTAGAAATGGTACAGAAAGAAAAAAATACATAAAAATTACTCACCTATAGTTTTCTTTTCAACCTGTAATCACACATGTTTTTCTTCATCTACCTTTCTAAATGATACAAAGGAAAGTGAAAAAATGTTTCTGGTATAAATACTATTTTAATAATATTTAGCAATATATACAGTATCACAAGTATAAAATCCAACTTCTGCATCACTATATCACTTCAGAATTTACCTCTTTACACAAAATAAGGCATCTTTAAAGTATATTCAGATATCATTTATGTACTTATAAAGCCATGTGTTAAATTCCCACAGCAAGTTGTTGAGAGTAAGGTTTCCACTAAACTATGTGAGCTTATGAAACAATACTGCATATTTAAAGAAAATCAAATACAACTTTCTAAAGCTCTTGAAATGCTAACAATACTACAAATAAGAAATTACTCAATAACCACACTATATCTGACTGCAACCTGAGTAAACATTGCAAATGTAAGTGAATACAGAAAAAAATCACAATGAATTCATTAATGACTAGAGGGATTATACAATCGCATGTTTGTTTTTCATCACTTCTTTCCCCATACGATTTCTTTGGGGAAATACAATTTGTGAGTAAGTATACAAGTGAACCTAAACTTAAGAATGCATTCATGTGCACAATTTGGTGTTAATGTATGTGTATTTAATGAAAAATACAAATAAAAACTCTGCATTTCACAACAAAAACCTCTCTCTCTCTCTCTCTCTCTCTCTCTCTCTCTCTCTCTCTCTCTCTCTCTCTCTCTCTCTCTCTCTCTCTCTCTCTCTCTCTCTCTCTCTCTCTCTCTCTCTCTCTCTCTCTCTCTCTCTCTCTCTCTCTCTCTCTCTCTCTCTCTCTCTCTCTCTCTCTCTCTCTCTCTCTCTCTCTCTCTCTCTCTCTCTCTCTCTCTCTCTCTCTCTCTCTCTCTCTCTCTCTCTCTCTCTCTCTCTCTCTCTCTCTCTCTCTCTCTCTCTCTCTCTCTCTCTCTCTCTCTCTCTCTCTCTCTCTCTCTCTCTCTCTCTCTCTCTCTCTCTCTCTCTCTCTCTCTCTCTCTCTCTCTCTCTCTCTCTCTCTCTCTCTCTCTCTCTCTCTCTCTCTCTCTCTCTCTCTCTCTCTCTCTCTCTCTCTCTCTCTCTCTCTCTCTCTCTCTCTCTCTCTCTCTCTCTCTCTCTCTCTCTCTCTCTCTCTCTCTCTCTCTCTCTCTCTCTCTCTCTCTCTCTCTCTCTCTCTCTCTCTCTCTCTCTCTCTCTCTCTCTCTCTCTCTCTCTCTCTCTCTCTCTCTCTCTCTCTCTCTCTCTCTCTCTCTCTCTCTCTCTCTCTCTCTCTCTCTCTCTCTCTCTCTCTCTCTCTCTCTCTCTCTCTCTCTCTCTCTCTCTCTCTCTCTCTCTCTCTCTCTCTCTCTCTCTCTCTCTCTCTCTCTCTCTCTCTCTCTCTCTCTCTCTCTCTCTCTCTCTCTCTCTCTCTCTCTCTCTCTCTCTCTCTCTCTCTCTCTCTCTCTCTCTCTCTCTCTCTCTCTCTCTCTCTCTCTCTCTCTCTCTCTCTCTCTCTCTCTCTCTCTCTCTCTCTCTCTCTCTCTCTCTCTCTCTCTCTCTCTCTCTCTCTCTCTCTCTCTCTCTCTCTCTCTCTCTCTCTCTCTCTCTCTCTCTCTCTCTCTCTCTCTCTCTCTCTCTCTCTCTCTCTCTCTCTCTCTCTCTCTCTCTCTCTCTCTCTCTCTCTCTCTCTCTCTCTCTCTCTCTCTCTCTCTCTCTCTCTCTCTCTCTCTCTCTCTCTCTCTCTCTCTCTCTCTCTCTCTCTCTCTCTCTCTCTCTCTCTCTCTCTCTCTCTCTCTCTCTCTCTCTCTCTCTCTCTCTCTCTCTCTCTCTCTCTCTCTCTCTCTCTCTCTCTCTCTCTCTCTCTCTCTCTCTCTCTCTCTCTCTCTCTCTCTCTCTCTCTCTCTCTCTCTCTCTCTCTCTCTCTCTCTCTCTCTCTCTCTCTCTCTCTCTCTCTCTCTCTCTCTCTCTCTCTCTCTCTCTCTCTCTCTCTCTCTCTCTCTCTCTCTCTCTCTCTCTCTCTCTCTCTCTCTCTCTCTCTCTCTCTCTCTCTCTCTCTCTCTCTCTCTCTCTCTCTCTCTCTCTCTCTCTCTCTCTCTCTCTCTCTCTCTCTCTCTCTCTCTCTCTCTCTCTCTCTCTCTCTCTCTCTCTCTCTCTCTCTCTCTCTCTCTCTCTCTCTCTCTCTCTCTCTCTCTCTCTCTCTCTCTCTCTCTCTCTCTCTCTCTCTCTCTCTCTCTCTCTCTCTCTCTCTCTCTCTCTCTCTCTCTCTCTCTCTCTCTCTCTCTCTCTCTCTCTCTCTCTCTCTCTCTCTCTCTCTCTCTCTCTCTCTCTCTCTCTCTCTCTCTCTCTCTCTCTCTCTCTCTCTCTCTCTCTCTCTCTCTCTCTCTCTCTCTCTCTCTCTCTCTCTCTCTCTCTCTCTCTCTCTCTCTCTCTCTCTCTCTCTCTCTCTCTCTCTCTCTCTCTCTCTCTCTCTCTCTCTCTCTCTCTCTCTCTCTCTCTCTCTCTCTCTCTCTCTCTCTCATGTTTGTTTTTCATCACTTCTTTCCCCATACGATTTCTTTGGGGAAATACAATTTGTGAGTAAGTATACAAGTGAACCTAAACTTAAGAATGCATTCATGTGCACAATTTGGTGTTAATGTATGTGTATTTAATGAAAAATACAAATAAAAACTCTGCATTTCACAACAAAAACCTAATATAATGCACACATGAATATATGTATATACACATTTCCAGGTATATATTAAATATATCCTTTTCCCATTACCCAATGGTCAAGGGTATGTGGGTATATATTAAATATATGCAGCAGCAAAACAGGCTTAGATATAAGTGAAAACTAAAGGAAAATCAATGCAATTAAACTATATACTTAGTGATTAGACATCACACACAAAAACAATAGATGATGCCAAAAACTTTCCCTTTATAATGGTACTTAGAGATATCTTACTATCAACATAATCCTATCCACATAATTGTAACTCTTCATTAATATATACATCACAAAAGTAATTATACAAAACACAGTTGAGTTTTAAAAAGGTTAAAGCCATTTTAATCATAATCTTTTTGTAAACAAAATAACAAAGTACCACATCAAATCAAAACTGAAAATCAAATATGAACTGGCACAAATGTTTGTGCAAAGAAGCAGGCATCACTTCTAATGTTTCCCCTCCTATAAAATAGCAGATATTTATCAATTCAAATGTTCTACCATAACTATGTTAATGGAAAGAAATCCTGTTCTATCCTGTGCTTCGGCAGTATAAGCAAATTATATGAATAATGATATTACTAATATTTAGATTAACAGCTGCATGTGCGTATCGGGGTTGGTTATGGATGAAAATATGCATTTCTGTGTAAGCATGTATATGGGCATAGGCATGTATGGATGAGTGGTTGGGTGTGGCATTATATGAATGTGTATGGGTGGGAGGCATGTGTGGATGTCTGTATTTATTGGCATTTATGGGATAGTGTGTGTGGGAATACAAGTGTGTGTGAGAGGTGGTTGTATGTTAGGGTGTGCTGGCATGTTTGTGGTCTGTGTGTGCATATGTATCTGCAGTCTGTATATGTTTAGGGGGGATGTGAACACAATATAAATGTGCCTGCATAAATGCATCTAACTGAGAATCTTATTGTACATTTTAATTTTCAATAGTATATCCACATCAAATGATATATCATAAAAAGATGCAAACAATTAAGACATTTCAGCAACCTACAATTTATATATTCCTAAAGCTATGCCTCTGACCTCTTAACAATAAAAGGATACAGATATATTCTTCAATACAAGCAAATGATTTGTTTCAAAAGTGAAGTAAAAAATACAAATACAATGTAAGTATAAGTAAATAAGTTGGTGTAATAGTACTAATAGTACTTTAGGACAAAAGATACACTTCCTAATTACAAGTAAAGATATAATACATAACACTGCATTACAGTATAAATGTGCAGCAATAAAAATAAGAGACAGATAAAAAAGTCAAACATTACCATTTATATAGATAAATAAATAGATAATGTATGTATGCATATAACTAAACACAAATCATACACAACATATAGACAGATAGATAAATAGATTGATATATACAGATATCTATCTATCTATATCCATAGATAGAGAGAAAGATAGATATAGCTATGTATATATTTGTGTGCGTGTGTGTGTGTGTGAGAATATGTGTGTGTGTGTGGAGGGGGGGTTATGGGTGCGTGGGTGTATGGGTGTGCATATGATATGTGTGGTGTGGTGTGATGTGGTGTGTGTGGTGTGGTGTGTGTGGTGTGGTGTGGTGTGGTGTGTTGTGGTGTAGTGTGGTGTGTGTGGGTGTGTCTATTTATCTATTTACTAAGACTACATCATTTTCTTGTCTTTCGTATCAAAGACCTTACATAATTTTATGTTCTTTTTTATCTGCAGTTTATAATAATTCCATCAAGTATAGCAACCCAAAACAAAACTTATTTCAAGTTGATAAAATCAGCATTGTGGCCATAATTTATTCAGGTACTTCATAAGGTTCATTGCAATATGCAAGTCTGGTATTACTCAACTTATAATAATGTGCAACTTTTATGTAAATCTCTGTAGAGGGAAAGGTAGCTTTGAAAAATGTCAATAAATTCCATGTATATCAAACTGAGCAGTAACAAGTTGTTACTGCCAGGAGATGAAAACTCTAGAAAGTGGCTCTAAAAAGTGTTTGAATAATGATGCAAAAATAAGAAAGTGCTATATCTGCAGCTGTAATACAATGCAAAAACACACTCAAAGCCAAAAATCTCCTGAAAGTATACCACCTAAATATATGGTAAGCCAGAGACATTCCCATTATTCAGAAAATAAGTAAATTAATAGTTTTCATACAATCAGAATATTTGATTAAACAAAAAAATGTCTGCTACATCTAAATAATAAATCAATAGTCACAAATCGTGTCTGTAGCTTTTACTAATCACCCCCTAAAGACTGAAATACTGTAGACAATAATACCCCAGCCAACGCCTTTTCACCATTCCCCAAGGGCAAATTTTTCCGTTGTAGTTTCAGAAGTACTATTCTGTGTATTCCTGATCCTCATACCTCACTTGGTTAGCCCAAATAGACTCCCACAAGTCTGGAAAAATAAAGGCAAAATACTTCTCCTCCCACCTCAGTTTCTACTGTACTTTACATTGAGTGGGTGGCCAGAGGATGGGGCATGATTTACAACACCAGAAAACATATTTCTCAAACTGGAAATAAGTTATGCAATGCTGGTGGGTTGACATGAGCTGGGTGGTCAAAGAAGAAGGCATAATTTCTTTTGCCATAATGTATATAATGTTAAACACATACCAAAAATGAAAAGACGAAGTTTAAGAAAGAAAACAAAAGTTTGGGTTGGGCTAGAAAAGATGCAAGCCAAGTGCAGTGTAAGATCAGGTTTGGGACATCTTGTAGTGAGATTACAGATGGTGATAAAAGAATCATCATATAAAAAGGGAGGAAAAATGGTCTGAGTATGTGTTTGTGATGGTGTGGGAAAATAGTTACAGTGGCCTCCCTGATATTTTCTTTTACCAAATCATCCATGGACAGATGGAGGCCAAAACTAATCTGCAAATTTTTGTCCAGGCTACATTTCAATTTAGTGAAGACTGACATTACTTGGAATTTCATGGTTAATCTATAAGAGGTTATTAAATGCTAGCAGTAGCACATTATAAAAAGCTCCACACAAACAGGAGCAGGCATACCTTGGTACAGATAGGAAGAGTATGGGAGTGTTCTAGCTTTCATATGCATATAAAAAAAAAATTAATTAAAATGAAATGGGATCTGATAAGATGTCTAGCTGTACTATGTGATTAGTAACATGCTAAGAGATGGTTATAAAGAAAATATTGTATGCCTGATAGACCTCCACAATTTGCAGTGTCAACAATTTGATGATGCCATGAAAAAATGCACACTGGCCAACTATCCATACTGTGCAAGATTATGTGCAAGGGGTTGAGTTCATTCAAAATTTCTTAACAACTATGCTACAATATGAGAAGTATCTATTAAATAAAGGAATTGAATGCCTTTATTGAATAGATAATGGACAATTTCATTTGTACAGAGAAATGTACATAATATGATAATTGCTCATTTAGAAAAACTAAACCTCAGAAAATTATTTTGAAACTGTCTGAAATTGTTGTAAGTATATTTAATAATCATTTAATATGTAATAAAATTATGATTTGCTCTTATTAAACATTTACTGAAATTCACAGATAAACAGAATATAAAGGTCACATCATGTGATATGTTCCTCAGAAAAAGAACTAATACACTAAGAAAAAACTATAATTGTAACCTTCCCTGTATAACACATGACTAAATATATGTCAAACAATGTCAGCGAGTACTTGTATCAGGAGTACTTGTATCAAGTTGCCATATTTTGCAGCATAAAAGATACACTGGTGTGTAGGATGCACCTTCAATTTAAAGAGAAATATAATGAGCAAAAAAAAAATTTGAGAGTAATTTTCTAGAATTGGCCTAGACCCTTTTGGAGAATTTACCAGTCACCGCAGATGATCTCTCATATTCACCAATCCTTTCATTTGTGTTATTATAAACTGTATTTCCTACAGACAACCTCTCTGCAAGAATTGTAACTAATGCCAATGTGTTGTGTTTTAATTGTCCTCTTTATCCAATTAAATTATAAATGTACAATACTATACATATTCAAATTGTTTAGGTGCAACTACAATGGTAAGCCTCTGGATGAATGTAATAAGCTGTTAAAATGGAAATGAACAGCAACTAGACATGATATATTTCATAGTTAAATGCAAATGCAAGACTCAAGACTTTATTTGATGTATATGCCCTGTCTTCTGGTTAGTGCTATTCTTCCATAGAAAAAGTAATGATTTGTGCTGATTGCCAGTTATAATATTGCATCATATTTTTTGTGTGTAAGATATGGAAATGAAAGACATTAATGGGAAAGATAAAAAGTTTTATGATGATTTATGTAAATAGGTTTGTCTTACATGTCTAATTCACTGAAAAAGTGAATGTAAAATTGTATGAAAATCTATAGGGAGAGTTAAAAAAAAGTTTCTTTCCTGTACTTTGAGATAATGATGGAAATAATGCAAGTGAGTTCTCAAAAGTACTATAATAATGAAACAAAAAGCAGCAAGAAAAAAATTTTGAGTAATGAGAATACCTTTTGCCTGCTTTTATGCCTGTACAACTCAACATGAAGAAAAGATATAAAACATCAATGAACAGTTGATGTTTATAGATGAATTATAATTTCTGTATTATTTTTTCCTGAAAAATAAGTCAAAGATGGATAAAGGTATTTAAAATCCTCAATTTTCTAAAGCACAAAATTAGTAACCGGTTTGTAGTTTGTGTGGATAAGTTACAAATAATTTTCATTTTCATGTATTTCTCTTGTATATAAAATTAATGAAATATTTCCAGGCTTCAGAAATTGTGATTAATTTATTGCTTGCATCTCTTTGTTCACAAAGCCTGTCTTTCTTCATTTATTGTAAATCACTTGTAAAAGTGATTGTTTTTTTAATAACACTTTCACATATCTGAATGAGGTAGAGATTTGGTAATGCCAACCTGTCCACGCCATGACACCACAGCAACCTCTTGGCCCAACTCATTTACCTTATCCATATGACCTCATTGTGAATACCCACCACAAGTCTTATAAAACTGCTACTTCAGCCTAAAGCTTCGCTCACTTGTTCTGAGCACCACCAAAACCTCGGAACAGAGAGATAACTGAAGCAGCTGCTGAGGAAACAATGCCGCCTGCTCCAGTACCCATACCCATACCAGGCCCTGCATGACCCATTGTTGCCTGGGAGTATACAGCAGTAGAATTAAATGTTGAGAAAGTTTGGTGGGTTGGCACTAAGGGCGGTTCCAATAAAGGCAGGTTGGGTACCTGTAATATGAGATAAAAGTAAATGAAAAAATAGAAAATACTCTGCTTCTTAAATAATTTCCCAATAGGGAATGTACATTAAAATAAATCTGAATTTGTTTCTCTTTATCTGTCTGTGTCCTTCTGTCTCCTTATCTACCTGCCAATCTACCACCTCACCCAAAAAAATTACACATCTACCTTAAATATCATTATAATCTTTAACTTCCACTGACATGTTGTCTACAAATAAAGCACCTTCTTAGTAGCAATATTTGTATTTTCATTATAATCTTATTGTTGCATTACCTATGCAAAATGGACTGGTACCTTGTGTTTAGGTTTACAATCTTTTCTGAAATGAGCTTTATAATGACACACAAAAGGTACATTTTGCAATTAAACATCCATTTTTTTGTGTTACAAATTTTGAAATCATCAACATTTTACATCACTGTTTTGGGTAAATAGTCAGCAATTGTATCTGTTAAAATGTAGACTAACCAAAATTACAATATCTTCCTAAAGAACCAAAAGAGAAATACGAATATCAATTTACACAGCTTAGGCCATAAAAATCGGCTGAACAAACGCAATTATCCGTCAACAAAATAGAAAAATATAACTAGTAAACCAGTGGAATGTTCATGTTTCAGCCTCTGTTAAGCCACAATCAGTTCACACACTACAGATTATATTCACATTAAGACTTGCATTGTAAACTGGGCAATTACTTACAGTTTCCCACTCAGCAGAGAGCGTGTCCGTATCTTCCTCTTCCTCAGAATCAGAACCCTCAGCATTGTCATCCTCCATGCCATCCTCCATGCTCTCCAACAAGGACTCTGCAATCTCAAAGCTTCCTTGTCTGAAATATGCAATTCCATGATGATAAACAATTGAAGATATTTAACATTAAAGCTATTGTTTATATCTCCAAACCAGGTTCATGCAATCCAAAACTTATCTGCATTAACAGTAATATCTCCAACAACCAACTCTTCCTTTCTTTATTAAACAGAGGGCAGGTAATTATTTACTTTCATTTCATTCTGTAGATTTTCACTTACCTGCCAAGATCAGCTATCTGTGTATCAAGAAGGGCTAACAGGTTAGGCATACTGTGTGTAGGTCGCAACAATTTAGCCGGCACATTCTGAGACAAGCACAGATATATTATGTTTGTGTTAAGTCTTGCAACACGTCTTGCAAACTGCTGTTCGCCCAGCTCGTTTCTGCAGAATTCACTGACAAAAGAAGTGAACATAAGTTTGGGTTACCTGTCTCAATTATTTTTTTATTTATACTTTACTGATTAATGAAGGCATCTTTAACACAAAATTATTCTTTAAATAAATACTGTTCTGAGAAACTTCACACAGTCTCTCCTGTATCTACATATCATTAAAAAAAATATCCTTTACAACCAACAATCTGGTCATTACCTGTAGCAGAGCTTCTTTGGTAAGGTAACATCCAGATAAAATGCAAGAGTGTTGACAAGCTGTGTAAGATAAGTGAGGCCTGCACAAATACTGTAGCCTCCAGATCTCTCTTCTCCATCACTCTCCTCACACTCACCTCCACTTGCACCCACAGCTATAAAAAGTGAGAAAAATACAGAAGTTAGTGCCAATAAAAACTAAAATTTATAGATATAATGGTCTAAATGACATAGTATAATTACAATAACTTAGGGCCCAATTCTGACATACACAAAAGATTATAGGCAGAGTAGTCTCCAGATCCTGGTAACATCGGGTGAACAATGCGATACTGTGTCTCATGGGAAGTATCAGTATATACCCAGCGACCTCTTACATATGTAGTTTGTGATGCCTCTGCAATTGCTGATACCGTGTCAAGGTGCTCTGGATCAGTATCAACGCTACAAAAAATAAACAGTATTCAAAATCTAGTACTTAAACCTCTGGAAGTATGGTCTTATTCTGTTAACATTTGTTCCAAATAAATTATCTTTATCAAGCATAATACATAAGTATTTCAATGTTGTAAATTTTTGTTGTCTTTCTGGCTTTTAAATTTAAAATTGATACAAACTGTCCAAAACATAAATCATATAATGTAAAAAAACCACAACGTATGTCATTAAGTGACATCCTGAATCAAAATCTGAAGCAATGTCACGATCAGTCTTCAGTTTCAAGTTTATATCAAAGCTTAAGCCGAATTCTTCATTATCAAGAATAAAAAAAACAAAAAATAAATAAAAAAAAGTTCCTACAAATTCATTGGACAAGCGACTAAAATTTCCAACTTTTCACGCTACCTTCTAGCTGGCTGGACTTCTGTAATCGGGAATATGTATCGCGTTAGCTGTCTTATATTGCCACGAACAACACCCTTTAGCTGAGCCTCGCTAATCGCTAGTTGTTCTCTCTTGTCACGAATCTGTAACGTATGTCATGGCTAAAAATAAGAGTAACCAAAAATAAATAGGGAAATAATTTTTGAGGAGACTGGTAGTACTGATAGAAAGTCTTTTTAAGTAATAATGATAACATCTTATCTACATGAAAAATATCTATGGACAATTTACTCATATATGTTTACTCAACAATGTTCTAGTATACACCATCTTATCAACTTCCTTATATTCAGTAAGCCAACCTTCATTTTCATGTTCAAGAAGAGGAAGAGAAGGAAGAGGAGGAGGACAAGGTGACAAGGAGGAGAAAGCGGTGAAGGAGGAGGAAAAGAAGAAGAGGAAGAAAAAGAAGGAGAAAAAGAAGAAGAAGAAGGAAAGGAAAGATAATAATGTGAGTGAATCAGAGGAATATAAAAAAAAATATGATAACAATATCAAATTGTGGCTAACATTACAAGTTATTGCATAGTAATTAAGGGGGATTCAAGCAGCAGTGAGAACATATGATTTCTGGTGGATGTTTTTAGGTTAGGTTATGTTAGGTCAGGGTAGGTTGCTAGATTAGGTTAGATCAGATCAGATCACGGTAGGTTAAGTTTAGATGGGTTAGGTTGGGTTGGGTTGGGTTAGCTTTGCTAAACTTGGCACAGGTGCAGTATGCTGCCACATTACTGCATATTTTAAAGCTATGCCATGTCCTGCATCTTTAAAATCTGGACTAATCCAATATCATGCCCCAAGCCAAAGCACTAGACCTTGTGCTAATGCTATGAGGCCATGAATGTAGCCACTGCCAAACAAAAACAAACAATCTACCTTTTCTTGGTACTGGTGAAGAATCTTCCTCATCTTCGACAGTCTTTGCTGGAAGAGAGGGAGCTGCTGCCTCCGCATAGCATTGGTGTTGGACAGCTCAGCACTCTGGGTTTTCACTGTAATTCCAAATCACAGAAACAACATTTACAAAGCTGTCCATCGCAAAATAAAGGAAAAAAAAAAGGAAAAGAAAAGAAGAAAAGGATGTTGGGTGTGACAAACAAAAGACTATGGACAATGAACTTCTCAGTCACAGAAATTACTGGGGATTCCTGTGCTCCAAATTAGAAATGGAACACATCTAAACAAAAGCACTTCCACATTAAATCCAGCATCATTATCATTATCATCATCATTGACACACAATGAAAATAATTATAATAGTAATAATGATAATAATGATAATGAAATGATAATAATAATAAGATTGACAATAATAATAGTAATAATACAAAAGTAATTATAATAATAATAATAATAATAATAATAATAATAATAATAATAACACCAGCAACAACAACAATAGCAACAATAGCAACAATAACAATAATAACAACAACAACAATAACATCTACCTTGTGAGATATCTTCTTTGGTACTGTCAATGACCAGCTTCAGTAGTGACACCCTCTCTTGTACTTCCTTGAT